CAAAGAAAAAACACAACAAAACAAAACAAACAAACCAAAATCAAACCAAAAGAAAACAAACACAAACAAACAAACAGGCAAAAACCCGGCTTAAAATTATAATATTATCGTAAGCAACAACTAGATCTATTACATATCATTATTTTGAAAGTAAAGTGCCACATATTATGTTTCCTCCTTGCAATCCAGAGAAACCTTGGCGATGACGCAAAAAGTCCGGTTCACCCGGCCACTTGGTCATGGTTACCTAGCAAGACATTCTACTTTCATTCGTAACGTTGTTGACCACTAGTTGCCCACCACCACACGTGCCGTGCCTCGCTCCAGCGCCGGACAGGGGTCAGTGTGACATTTACTGAGAACAGTTTCTTCAAGACAGTCATGTCTAAGTCTAAGGGCAAGTGCGGGCCGAGGCCACACTGTTTAGGATCACCCCCCTTCAACTTGTTTGTTTGGGTGTCCCGTGCGTGCCCCCTATCTCTCTTGGGTATATAGACGTGCCCCCCTCACCCCCCCCCACCCACCAAATCCCCCTTTATTGCTGCGTCGGTCACTACGTACGGAGAAATGCGGGTCTCGATTCCAAAGACCAATTAATGTGTCACGATGCTGTGGAGTCAAGCGCTCGTCAATTTCTTGGCATATTGAGTTAATGGTATCATCTTGAAGCTTATTCATTTGCCTTGCATGCGATGAAAAAAGTAAACCCATCCATCTTGAATAGAAGTCGAGATATTTCCGATTGAAGAAGGTCGAGGTCACCTGTTTTCGTTCGAGGTAAATTTATCTAGAAAATGACCGCCAAAGTTTGGTAACTTCGATACCTTGAGAGTCCTTGGGAAAAGAAAACTTGCATTTTTTAAAGCCTTAAATCAACATTTTTCAATAAAGTCCGGAGAGAAATTTGTTTTTAAATAGACACAAAAGGTGTTGAGCCAAAAAGCAAAAATTCGATAAAAACTGTCGAAATGCCGGAAAAAATGCCATTTTCTTCAGTTTCATTATTCTGACGAGTGCCTGATTTCATCACGACGCTTCACAAATGGATCATACGCCACTACGTTTTGATTTTTTTTTATTATTCTGTGGTTTAAAAAAATTTTTTTTCACTGATTCTAATAAGATTATTGATAATAATGGTCGGATATAAAAGCTTTGAACATCTTGCTATTAACGGGAAAGTGGACGGACGGCCAACGAGGCAGAGATAGACCCATAGCGACTTACCTGGAAAAGTTGATTGTAGGCGATGGGGGTAGATCAGGATAATTCAGGTCTTTTTTAGAGCCTCCAGTCAAAAAAAAGGAATAAAGAAATAAAGAAATAAATGGCGAACCTTGGATCGCGGTCTGTTTCAGATCTGGTTCTTGATGATGATGGTGAATAATGGTTATTGCCTTACTCTCTCTCTCTCTCTCTCTCTCTCTCTCTCTCTC